TAATAAATAATACTGACTTTAAAGCTTCTCCTACAATTACACCTTCATACACCTGGTGGTGTGAGCTAAAATGACATCTAGACTAACAACTAAACTTTCTGACAAATAGCCTTCAAAACACTTTGCAAACATTTCTTCTGAATGTTTTGATAGGTTTCACAAAAAGAAAAGGACAAAATGTCACTGGAAATTGGCTTTGTCAACTTTAGACTGATATTCCATAATTCTGCAACACACACTAGCTGAAGTGACACTTTGACTTTTTGTTATAATATTGTGTTTGTACACAAGTATGAATTATAGCTGCAGTTTGTGGACGTAAAGGCAGGAGAGAGGACATGAATATGACAACAGAACATTTGTCTATCCTCTTTCTGCTGCGTTTAAGTGCCGCTTTCAACACTACAGACCAGGGTGTGTTATTGTAATAGGCCATCTGGAAAACTAGGTTGGTCTCTTTGGGACAGCATTAAACTGTTTCAGGACCTATATTACAGGTAGACAAGTCTACATCAGCCTCAGGGGCCGGGTGTCTAATAGATTTGATGGCAACAATGGAATTGCCTTGACCTAGTTTTATGTTCTTTATACATGCTCCTCTGGGAGAGATTATTCAGCAATATGTTAGTTTATATAGTTATATACACAGCATGCAGACATTATTTTATTTCTATTAAGCCATAGGACCCACATTCTATTTGCCATATGCATGCTTGACATAAACAGTATCCACATAACTGCAAAAAAACTGATGCATGATGTCAATTTAAAGAGGAAAAGAAAAAATCCAAATCCAATATTCATGCTTTACATCAAAGCAAGAACTATACCACAACAGAAACTGAGGTTGCAGACCTGATCATTATCCATAACCCACTATAAACCTACACCTTCATCATTAAACAATATCAGACTGAGTGATACACTGCTGTGGCAGTTTTAGAATTGACACTCTGATTAAAATCTATAGGCATTTCAACTAATTGACACCTAAGCTGCCAAACTGCCAAACAGAAATATATGCTTATTGATTTCCCCAGAACTGGCCCCTTCTCATTTGCCTCATGCATGTGATACCAAATGAGCTAGAACATTCTCACATGTGCGATTGAGTCATCCTTCACATCTCTTAGGAACTATGGCATGCACTGAAGATGGCCACTTTCAAAAAATAATCACAGAATGCAGGATTTGTTAATGTGTCTGCCTTTCTCATTCTTCATTTTCTCATCAGAACTGTCCTCTTTTTTTCTTCTGATGACTATTATCGTTGCCATCATACTATTAGATATTAAAAACATAAAGCAAAAATCCCAAATGAAATCAGAATTTAGCTGTTAAGATAATGAGAAATGTTAAGATCTTTAGAAGTGGCAGGTAGTGAGCAATTGGTCTGCTGGAGGAAGCTGCAATGAATTTCTTTCTAGGCTGCAGGCAAGCATGGATCCATTTTTCACTTTTGCCCTGAGGGTAATCGATGATGGGGGTGACGAGACAACAGCACACCCTGAATGAGCAAGGGTACTCTGAAAGGTTCAAAGTAGCCTGCCGGCTCATTCAAATTCAGTCTGCTAAATCCTGAGCTTTCCATATTCCCACCATGTTCCTACCTAGCGTACCATAGGGAGATCTAGCTGGCACTCTAACCACGTTTTTTATTATGGGCTGCACTCTGTAATGGCCTCAGGTCAGCAAAGAGACCTAGATCTCCATTAATTCACATAAACTCTGCAAACGCTACAGTATAAACAAGCAGTCCTCTATGTGTAGCAAAGACAGAGGTGGTGAAGAACCTAAAACCATGCAGACCCAGCTAATATTGTAGAACTACAGAACGGCAGTCCCAAATCTTTCCAATGTATTTACAGATTGTGAATTATTCATTACTTTGGCTCATGTGTGATGGACAAGTGCCTGAAATGGGTTAATGTGATGACTAGTTCATAGATGTTTAGAAACCAAAATAAATGACAAACTTCTGTTGGATTATTTAATTTCTAATGAAGGTTAGTGCGATACAATGTGGTTGTTTTTTACTGCTGTATTTTACTTTAACTAATAGATGTTTCAAGCGTAACATATCAGAAGAATCCCAATAACAAACTGATAAAACAGCCACTACATTAAATAATAGCTACCGCTGTAAAATGTATTACCTGCAGGTGGAGCACCTTTCTTTTCCTGTAGGGGGTGCAGATTAGTCTGTGTAGAAATAAGTTATCTCTGCCAAAGAGATTATGCTTTTTTTTGTGGACTGTGGGAAAAACTACTGGCACGATATTCATGAAACTGGTGTAGTATGGGCCAAGTTAGAACCAATTACATTTTGGAGCACATCCAAATCCAGAGTGGATACACAAATTATTTTTTGGTGTCTGTGGCAAAATGAACTGAATTTGTTGTGCCTGCATGAACCTGTTGTAATTAAAGTGAATAGTGTGCCACCACTACAACAACATACAACAAAACATAACAGCCACCTCAAACATAACTGTAGAAACAAATGGAGCAGGTTTGTAAGAAATAAGCAATCAGTGATGTGCTTTTTCTGGATTAATCTGGATTTTCCAACCTACGCAAACCCATTGTAATCAAAGTGAACGGTGTGCAGAATTGCATATCATAAAAATACTGGATCATTAGCATCTAGTGTTTGACGAGTTGAGAGTGAGGATGTGTTGTAACAGTCATAAACTGAGATGATACATAAAATTAAACAAATAATTGACCATGTTTCCTTATTAATCTGTAATATTCTGCATGCTTGAATGCTGAGCTGCCCACATATCCATATAAATGTCCACAGTATTGTGTATATACACACACTAAAGTGTATGTGTGTGCTTTAATCTAGAGTGCTGATGGGAGAGTAGCTCAGCTGTGGTATGGCACGTCCATGACCTTGACCCTGTGTTTTTACAGAAATAGACTCCTTCAAGCTCCACTTCCTCTACCAGTCTGATCTTTAGCAAACTGTGATGAGAGGTTTTAAAGATATACAGACTTACCATGGTGATAGCTCATTAACACTCTGCTGTTCAAGCCAAATTTCCTCAGGAAACAACATTTCTGCAAACGCTTAGCATTTTTGGGAGCGGCGTTTTTGTGTAAGCAGACCTGATTTGGTGATCAGTAATGCACTTATGAGAACATGAAACCGCTTATTATCCCAATATTTTCCCCATGGATGCTGATTGGGCAATGAACCTTCTTGTTTAATGACAGGTTTTATGAAGTTTATAAGATAAGTTGTTTTCACATCAACTTTGTTCAATGTGAAGAGTAATCACTGGTGGGCATCTGGCCAGCTTGAGAGTGTTGACACCATCACAATTTCACTCATTCAGTTAGCCATGAATCACAGTGCAGTCACAGTATGTACAGCATGTGTTAAGTGGGAGCGCAGCAGCCCTGAAGGTTGTGGGATCAGGACTAAAAGAGTCAGCGCTTGAATGGTGTCTAATGGTTCAGAAGTGCACCATTCAAGCACAAGCCCTAGGTCATGTTTTCAACAACAGTATTTAAAGCACAGTTCACCTCTATACTGTATGTAGACTGTGGAAACAGTCAAAGAAGAAAGAAACAACATAGCAGTGAGGCATGTCACTGAGGATGTTTTGGTGTACAGGGATAATAGTTGAGTTTATGCAGCAATCAAAGACTGAGATCCCAGCGAGATGTTGATTATGTGTGTGAAAACAGTGATTAGATGTTGCCACAGAGTCAAACTCCTCAGCTGCACTTGTTTCTAGTTCAGTCACCTGTCCTGTATTCACCCTCATATGTGCTTTTTTTTGCGTTGTTTTTCTTTTCTTTGCAATTTCCATACTTAACACCTCAAGTGAGAAACCTGCTTTCACGTTGTGTCTCATGCTTTCCTGTTACCTGAACAAATGTCAGGCCAATTAAAAAGAATCTACAAGGCCACTCTATGATTGAAAGTACAAGCTGTATATTTCTGAAACCCATCCAGGCCTCCGGGAGGTTTTTTTTTTTTTAACATGTTGGTGTATTAATGTATTAATAAATACAATATCTGATATGAAAGTCTAATTCAATTAAGATGTACTGAATATGTTGTTGGTGTCATCACTGCTACTCCATCACCAGAGCAATCAGCTAACTTTGAACCACAAGAATGACCATGATGAAGCTGAAGAGTACCCTCCCCTCAAGAAGAAGAAATATTTTGGTACATTTAATGAGTGGTGTGAAGACGAGAGATTTGGCTTTGATAAAGTTGACAATTTCGCAGTTGAATTCATTCTGTGCTGGCATTCTTTTCCTGTCAAGTTTGAGGGGAGGCATGGACTCATGCTGCCAGCAAAAAAAACAAGGATTTGGAGAGGCACAAAAATACACATTTTAAGCAGAAGGCAAGCGTTAAAAGCTGTAAGATAAAAAAAGGAAGAAATTATGCTGTTGTTGTGTTTTTCATGTGAAAAATAAAAATATTGTAATTGAATTGCTGGTCTTTTGGCATGTGTTGTGATTTTGCGGTGCTGGACGGACAGCTCTAATAAGGTGGCACTTTGAACACACCTTTTAATTTGCGGCAATATTCTTTGTCGCTTTCACTGAAGTGGTTTTCATTGTCACAGAACTACAGCTTTTACCAAATTCTTGATGATATGAAGGACCAAAGTCATCTAATTTCTCTCTGCCTGCCTCTCTTTGGGTATCTCTTTATCTCGCTCCATCACCATCACCACCGCTATTTCACTCTCTATGAGAGTGTCTTTTTTCTTTCTTCTTTGAGGTGGAGTACTGTACTTGTGACTTTGAATCATAGTGACTATCATTATTTTGTTGATACGGTGATTAAGGTTTTATAAAGTATTTTAATTAGGATCAAACTACAATTATATTTGACCAAAGTTGACAATACTTTGTAATAACCTACTTTCCAGTGTTTGGCCTGCTGTGGTATAATAGCCCACAGTACACACATTGCCAAACACACATGAACTGACACATATACACACACCTGAGCCACTTACCAAGCCAGTGTTCACCGGTGATCTTGCCAAATCCCTCCCGATAGGACTCCCATCCTCTGAAGAAGTTGACCGAGCCATCCTCCCTGCGCTGGATCACCTACACAGCCAAGACAGATAGGCAAGGGGTAAGGGGTCAGATGAGATTCATCTCACACTGTGTGTTTCATCCTCCTCTGTGATGAGTCATTGTAAGTCCCACTCCTGGTCGCTGAGCTCATCTAGAACTAAACTAAATGAACTCATAAATGCTTGCTCTTTCACAAATGAATAATGCAAATGCTCTTCCTACTAAAAAGGCAATTTGTCGGAAGCTAATAAAAGGAATCCATTAAATCTTGACTGACTTTGAATCAAATCGCCATGGAATCTGCATCCTTAATTGAAATCCCAGAAAAGAGATGATATTCATAAAACAATCATCCTAAATGCACAAAGAGAAATGAAATTCCTTTTCCTCTTCAGTACCATGAATCATGAAATTCTATAAAGCACTGGTGTGTGAAGAAATGACGTGGTATGTTTTTATGAGAAACAAAGGAAATATTAGCAAATTTAGCAATTTAGCTCAGCTGTGTGTGCGCGCATATGTGATGGTGTAGTATCTGTATCACCCAATGAAATACTCTATCCATTAAAAGCGCTGACATACCAGGTGTCAGATTGAGGGTGAAGGGAAATTGGAAATATGCTCCTGAAGAGGAAATGCATGCAGATGGAAAATAGTCTAGGGCTCGCTGGTGGAAGGCTGTGTTAATGTTGAAATGACAAAGGAGATTCCATGAGACAGTTTATGTTCAGCATGACTAATCCCCTAACATACCAAAAGGCACCAGATGGCACCAACAGCCATATTTGCTTTTAACATCCGCGCAGACAAACAACAAAACCCTGCAGAGCAATGGCAAAATTTTCATCCTTATCATTTTCATCCTCATAATTGTCTTCATTGTGATCATCTTAATCATCATTACTGTATCATCATCACTTATCTACACCATCTAGGGATTGTAGGGATTTTCTTCCTTATCCACAAAGAAGCTAGATTCTTCATCTCCTTCTACAGAGCTCTCAGAATTTCTCCAACATGATTCCAAAGATTGATTTCCTCCCTTATGATCATCTATAAAGATAAATTCTGTTGTCAGATTCAAACCTCTTCCTCTCATCAGTTAAGCAGTCTCTTTCAGGAACCTGACAAACAAATACATCATACAAATATATTTAAATACTATTTTTTTAGTAATTGCCTAAAACAGCTAGGCATTGTAGTTTTTAGGACAGTAATTGGTTTGGGACTTTTTTTAAATGTGGATTAATTGATTTATTGAACAGTTACAGTTAGTTTACCAAGGAGGTCAGTGGCACTGAGAAATAAGATATCCCACTTTACTTGTTAGTAGGATCAATTCATTGTTGTTTTGTTTTTTTCATGCGATTTGCTGACAATAAGAAAAATATACAATATCACCACACTTATCCTTTAATCCGTTTAATCTGTAACCCCATTGTGGTCCCTTTATAATGCAACTGAAACATACAATTGAGACAATTGATGGTAATTGTTTCAGAGAGATTTCCCAGAGATTATAGTGGGCAGAGTGCTGCATGAAGCTATCAATTAAACATAAAGAAACAAATGGATTTGTATCAGCTGTTGCATAATACTCTCACAAGCCTTGCCCCAGTCAAGGTGCATTAGACCAGTTATCTGTAACAACGTCAGTTATTATATTTCTTAACGTCCTTAAGCCAACATGAAAATCTAACTCGACAGTTCTACAGAATTTGACTCCTTAAATTTAATTTGAGTAAAACTAATTAATATGACGGTGTGACGGTGTGATATTAACTTAAGTAATAATTTACGGTAGTCCTGTGTTACTCATTTAGAAATGATTTCATGTAAGAAACTGTATCACCTGTTCACCAGTCTGTTAACACTGTAGCAAAGTAATATTTTTTTCTGTATCTATTTTGTGAATAGGTACACATTATTGCCACAGATTACAATATTAATGTGTGGTATGTAGTGCATAAAAATAACGTTATCAATCATTCATACACAGGGCTGGAGGGTAGCTCATTTTCACATTCCAAGAGTAATGCTACAGAACAGCTTAATGCACAGATGGAGTGGTGTCAACTACACTGTTATTCAGCTAATGAAACAGAACAAATATTGTGTGATATTGTAAGTTATGTGTCAGAGTGGAGCTGGTGACGGATGTTGTGTTAAAAATTTTTTTTCTACTTACTATCCTTGGCTCATGTACACTGAATACTGAAGCTGAATGATAGTCTGAATGAAAAATCTCAGGGATTTAAGACATATCACGATTTTTAGTCATATTCTATATCTTAAAAAATTCACATATAAATAATAAAACAAGGAATAAAACCATTTACAGTCATGGCCTGCATATGGCATGACTTATTTCAGTTCAGTGGCAACAACATCAGTGTATTTTGTTTTCTGTGTATTCAGACATCTGTGATTTTATACATCCCACAATTGATACACAATATTTTAATTCATAAAACATGTTTAGCTCAACTAAATATTTTCATGGTGACATTAAATGCGATTGCGGCTATTAATCGGGATGTCTTGATTAAACTAATGACCTTGGGAAAAAGACTGTGGCATTTGACAGTGGAAACTATGCACCGTCATCATGTTTCTAATATGTCAGCAGGGCACTCACAGACTGTGAGTGAGCCTGCCCCTGGTGCTTGGGTTAACTGGTGAGATTCACGTCAAAGATTTGTAGAATAAAAAAAAAAAAAATAAAATAAAACATCTCTGGGAAAGGCACTGCAGTAGAGCTTGACCGTCTCAAATTAAGAGGCCAACTGCAGGTTGAAAACATTCATGCCACTAAATTCTCCTTGAAATAATGACCTTCCAGCCTTCTTATCTTACTCCTTCCTTCCTTTTATCCACTTCAGACATACATTTCAAATTAGCTGAAATAGAGAAGACTGCAAATTGATAACACTATGTTAAAAATGAGGTTTTCCTTTTCATCCATCCCTAATTGTTTTTTCTCTCTTCCCTGGCACTTACTGCATTAGCAGCAGTTTAGGAGGCAGGGAAATTGCAAAAAGTGCCCCTTCAACCCAATAAATCACAAGAAACTTAAGAAAAAAACTTTTTTTTTTATTTACACATTTATACCAAAGAAAGGTGTCAGACTATAGTCGGTCTTATGAAAAGATTTTAGACAATGATAACTCAAGCCATAAAGGATTTGAATAAAGATTAGTGAACAATGTATCACCCACAATATCAAAACTCTGAAAAAAGTCAAAGCCTTCTCTGGCTACACACTGTAGACATAAGACAAAGATGTTTGACAGATTTGAAATGGAAAGAATAGAGAATGATTTGCAGTATGCTCTCATTATAGCATTGTTTCATTGACGCAGATAGATCCTATCTACACAATTATGAGACAAAAACCTTTTGTTCAATTTAGATATAGGGTTAGTCTTTGGTAGCTCCAGTATTTAAGGTCAATAGACATCTTTGGAGTTGGCTTTCATGCCTCATCTACGTCTCTCCCTAGCGTTGCTCTGATAGAAAACCTGAGACACCAGTGCTACTGGGAATCACCGCAGCAGTGAGAAACTGGAAAAACTGTGTTCACATGCAGCAGTACTCTACGGCAGCAGGTTAACCAGCAAGCAGTTCAGTTCAGATTAAGGTTAACACTCTTGTCTTGCTGGCCCTGCCTCCTTCCATGTCTAGCATCCTTGTAAGACTGGAGAGCCCCTCTGAGGTTTAATTGCATGTTGACCCTGAAGGTCTCTCTGTGTGTGTGTTCCCCAGAGACATGGAGCTCACAGAGACACAAGTCATTTTCTTTCACATGTTTCAAGAGGGAAAGGCAGCGGTGAAAATTAGAAGGTGAAAGAAAGCACAGGATTTTGGGAGAGTGTGACAATGCTATTAGAGTGTCATTATATGTGCGATACATATATCAGAGAAACGCACATACAAAAATTCAGGTGAATATGACCTTTTTGGCTTTCCATACAAACACATACATATATGTGTACATGTGCAGACAACCTGTTTAATCATGTGTTTTTTTTGTGTATGTGTTTGTGTCTGTAATTGTGTGCCTATACTATATACATGCGGGATTCTATAAGTGTGTGGGTGTTAATGTTAATGTTGAAGTTAGTAGGAATATGAAAAAGTTCTCTTGCTCCTGGCCTGTTTTATCACTGACAACATGCAAGCAAAGAACATGCAGAAATTTGCAGCCATGAGGCAGATAAGCCGACAATACTATCTGCTATGGATCTTACAGTTCAGTTGCTCATAAAGAACTTGCTCCCAACACTAGTCAGCACAGTTGAAGAAAGAAACTGTTAGTGGCACAAAACAATTT